CATTTCACTGTACAGTCACAGGCTGGGGTAGCTGAAAACTAAGTTGGTGCAATTATTCTGGCCATCAGACTGTGGACATCTAATGACAGAAAAAAGTACGGTGGGCGAAATCTCTTGATTGAAGGTGAGAATTGCAGCAAATGTTTATCTTTTAATGGGCTATTTATTTTTATCTTTTTTTTTTTTTTTTTTTTAGGTAGAGCTCTGCTTTACCAGTATACAGTATGGTTGTGTCAAATGTGGAACCAATCTGTTGCACCTAGTGGTACCTGCAATACACACAGAAACATTTACGTCATAAAAAGGCTTCTACCATTATTTCAGGTCAAACTGATTTAGCACAGAGCTTTTTTATTCCCCAAATATTGAATGTAAAACAAACTGCTGACACAAGTAAGTAGTTATTCTTCTATCTAACATATTCATGAATTTCGTGTTTTGTCTGGGTTCTCTTTTTAAGATAGAATTTATGGTAATTTCAGAAAGCAGCCACAGGCATACCTTTTTGATTGAGAATAATTAACTGGCCCCATGGGTATGATGAGGAGCTGAAACAAGCTGCTGGTAGCCAGGAGAATAAATCTCTAAATGGCAATGAAAGCTACAGGAAAAATGTATGGAAATGTCATGGATAAAATGCACTCAGAGCTAAATAAGCCAGGAATAATAAACCCTAGACACTTTGGATAATCTGCTGATGTATTTACGATATGACGCACAAAAATCCTGCATTGTGCTTTTAATCCACCAGCTCACTTCTCTGATGGGACAGTCCACACATCATTTGTGCACTAAGACGCATTGAATAATCAGTGGAAACTGGAGCTTTAGAGAAGACTTCAGGTAAAAAAAAAAAAAACAGGGTTACAATTTTATGCCCTACATTAGAGTAGGTATTTTGTGATGTGTTGCAGGAGTGCGTTTTAGTCGCATTTTACATGCGTTACCATTGATCGCCTTGTAACACATCAAAGATGCCACAATCAGGGCTTTCTAATGCACTGCACCTGAAGACACCTAAAACGTGCGGATGTGAAGAGTGCCTTGTACCTGAACATATCCTTGCTGTGCTCACACTCCCCCCTTCAATCATGATCTTTATGCTCCCCAATCTAATAAGTGACTGTAGGGAAGCAAGGGCTGCTGAAGTTCTGCTGCGCTGATCAAACTCTCTAGACCCAGCCTCCTCATTGAACATGGAGCAGCAGCATACTGAAAGGGCCATCCTTCTCTCTACTCCTGTAAGCTAACCTCCTAATGCCTCTAGATTGCATTGTATTTGCAAATATATTATTCAAATTTAAATCATTTAAGTGTGCCAAATATGCAAAAAAATAGAAAATCAGGAAGGGGGCAAATAATATGTATATATTCTGTATATATATATATATATATATATATATATATATATATATGTGTGTGTGTGTGTGTGTGTGTATACAGTTGCAAGAAAAAGTATGTGAACCCCTTGGGATTACGTAGTTTTGCATAATTGGGCATAAAATGTGCTCTGAACGTCATCTAAGTCACAACAATAGAAGAACACAGTCTGTTGAACATAATACTACACAAACATTAGATGTTGCCATGGTTTAATTGCACATAACATGTAAACATTCACAGTGCAGGGAGGATGTGAGGCCCTAGCTTAATGACTTCTCCCAGAGCTAATTGGAGCCAGGAGTGAGCCAACCTTGACTCCAATCAGTGTGATGATATTAGATGTGTTGCTGACAGCTGTCCTGCCCTTAAAAAACACACACCTGTTTTGGCTTTACTGGTTTCAAGAAGCACTGTCTGATGTGAACCATGCCTCGCAGAAAAGAGCTCTCAGAAGACCTACGATCAAGAATGTTGACTTGCAGGAAGCTGGAAAGGGTTACAAAAGTATCTCCAAAAGCCTTGATGTTCATGTGTCCACGGTAAGACAGACTGTCTACAAATGGAGAAAGTTTAGCACTGTTGCTACTCTCCCTAGGCGTGGTCGTCCTGTAAAAATGACTGCAAGAGCACAGCGCAGAATGCTGCATGAGGTAAAGAAGAATCCCAGAGTGTCAGCTAATGACCTACAGAAATCTCTGGCACATGCTAACATTTTTGTTGACACATCTACAATAAGGAAAACATTAAACAAGAATGGAGTACATGGGAGGACACCACGGAGGAAGCCATTGTGTCCAAAAAGATTATTGCATAAGTTTGCAAAAGAGCACCTGGATGTTCCACAGCACTACTGGCAAAATATACTGTGGACAGATCAAACCAAGATTGAGTTGTTTGGGAATGTGTGGAGAAAAAAAAGGCACAGCACACCAACATCAAAACCTCATCCCCACTGTAAAACATGGCGGAGGGAGCATCGTGGTTTGGGGCTGCTTTGCTGCCTCAGAGCCTGGACGGTTGTTGTTGTCATTGATGGGAAAATGAATTCCAGAGTTTATCAAGACATTTTGCAGGAAAACGTACGACCATCTGTCCGCCAACTGAAGCTCCGCAGAGGATGGGTGATGCAACAGGACAATGACCCAAAGCATACAAGTAATTCAACAAAACAATGGCTGCAACAGCACAGACAGAATACGCCTTCTGGAGTGGCCCAGTCAGATCCTGATCAACCCGATTGAAATATGATGACCTTAAGAGAGTGATTCACAACCAGACATTCCCAAGAATATTGTAGGTCCAAAAAACTCCAGATCGTTGTGCAGGTTTCTGCAACTACAGGAAACGTTTGGTTGAGGTTATTGCTAGCTCAACCATGTATTAAGTCCAAAGGTTCACATACTTTTTCCTCCCTGCATGTGAATGTTTACATTTTATGTGCAATTAAACCATGGCAACATTATGTTTGTGTAGTATTATGTTCAGCAGACTGTGTTCTTCTATTGTTGTGACTTAGATGACGTTCATATGCCCAATTCATGCAAAACTACGTAATAAGGGGTTCATACTTTTTTCTTGCAACTGTATGTGTGTGTGTGTGTGTATATATATGTGTGTGTGTGTGTATATATATGTATATATTATGTGTGTGTATATATATGTATATATGTGTGTGTGTATATATTTTGTGTATATATATGTATATATATGTGTGTGTATATATATGTATATATATATGTGTGTGTGTGTATATATATATATATATATATATATATATGTGTATATATATATATATATATATATATATACATATGTGTATATATATATGTATATGTGTATGTGTATATGTGTGTACTGTGTATAGTGTGTGTGTATATGTATATATATATACAGTATATGTGTGTACTGTGTAAGTGTGTGTGTATATATATATATATATATATATATATATATATATATACACACACTTGCAGAACTCAGTTTTGTTAGATGTTGCAGACCAGGTTTCATTTCTGATAATAGCACAATGTCAAAGGGTCTTGAGCAGGAAGTAGAAACAGGCTGACCTATGCTTTAGCTCATGGAAAACCAAAGCTATGTACTGTAGATAAACTGATAAACTTGCAATTGATATTTGAAGACCAGATCAATTAAACAAATTGACGACTTTACCTACTATGGAGATGTTCTGTCTCAATGCGCTGGAGGTATGAAGGAAGATGACCGGCAAGGCAGCAGGCATGTTCCTGCATTTATGTCAAAAAATCTCTTGGGCACATGGAAAACAAAGGTATGTAGATATACCAATAGGAAAACCTGCAACTGATGTTTGAAGACCAGATCGATAAAGAAGCTGAAGACTTTACCTCCCTTGGAAGTGTTCTAACTCAATGTGATGGAGGTATGGAGAAAGATGTCTAGTGAAGGATTGGCAAGGCAGCAGGCAGTTCCAGCATTTATGTCATGTTCCAGCTTTTTCTCGCTATGACTGTGAAGGTGCACCTATACTCTAAGATCCTTATTCCCACTGCCGTACATGCCAGCAAAAATTGGAATAGCACAAAAAAAAACCTCAAAAACGGAACTAATTTTACTAAAGATGCCTACAGAAAATTGTGGTTATCACATACAAAGTCTATATCACAAACGAGGAAATCTTGAAATGCAGTGGTAAGCAAAAGCTAGAACACATTGTCGCTAATTGGAGGCTATGGCGGGCTGGACATATACTTCACTACCTGACCACCACAAATGCAAAATTGCAATGTGCTGAAAGTGAAAGCCACCATCTAGATCAGCTTGCTTGCTTGCTTCTATCCGGCTCTTGGGGCATTATTTAATCCACTGATACCAACAATGGGGCATACTTTTCCCCACTAACACCAATGAAGGAGCACAATTTCTCCCAATGACGACAACAATGGGGTCCAAAGACAGCAATACTGGGGCACAGTTCTTCACACTGGCACCAGAGATAGTGTCAGTGGTTTTTCTCACTGATGTTGGGACCTTTTCTACTGCCAATGGCCACAGTTCGGCCCTCCTAAAGTCTGAGGGACAGTAAATTGGCTCTTTGTCTGGAAAGTTTGGAGACCCCTGATCTAGATGAAGGTGAAAACAAGGAAAACCGCTGTATACCTTTGAAACAGACCTGTAAGGCATCAAGGTCCCATGGGAAGAGGCTTCATCGGCCACATTTGACAGAATTCAATGGAAACCTCTTACTGCCCAATGTGCTAAATTGTGCTGACAAATTGCTTTTACGTCTAAGTGCCAAGATGATTAAAAATGCTAGGTCTGTTTCACACAGACTTTCTGATCATTACCACCTGTCAGTTTTTCAGGTGGACCTGATCAGGAGCTCTATGCAGGTCTCTTTAATAAAGTGACCTTGTGGTCAGAGATAATTTTTCATTATCAAAGGCCACAAAAAATGAACATTCTCTTAGCTGCATACAGTATATGTAATAGTAGTATGATGTACACTATATTGCCAAAAGTATTGCACACCCCTCCAAATCATTGGATTCAGGTGTTCCAATCACCTCAATGGCCACAGGTATATAAAATCAAGCCCCCAGGCATGCAGACTGCTTTCTACAAACATTTGTGAAAGAATGGGTTGCTCTCAGGAGCTCAGTGAATTCAAGCGTGGTGCCGTGATAGGTTGCCACCTGTGCAATAAGTCCATGAAATTTCCTGGCTACTAAATATTCCACGGTCAACTGTTAGTGGTATTATAACAAAATGGAAGCAACTGGGAACAACAGCAACTCAGCCATGAAGTGGTAGGCCACGTAAAATGACAGAGCGGGATTAGCGCATGGTGAAGCACACAGTACGCAGAAGTCACCAACTCTCTACAGAGTAATAGACAAAGACCTCCAAACTTCATGTGGCCTTCAGATTAGCACAACAACAGTGCATAGAGAGCTTCATGGAATGAGTTTCCATGGCTGAGCAGCTGCATCCAAGCCTTACATCACCAAGTACAATGCAAAGCGTCGGATGCAGTGGTGTAAAGCATGCCACCACTGGACTCTAGAGCAGTGGAGACGTGTTCTCTGAAGTGACGAATCATGCTTCTCTGTCTGGCAATACGATGGACGTGTCTGGGTTTGGCGGTTGCCAGGAGAACGGTACTTGCCTGACTGTGTTGTGCCAAGTGTAAAGTTTGGTGGAGGGGGAACTATGGTGTGGGGTTGTTTTTCAGGGGTTGGGCTTGGCCCTTAGTTCCAGTGAAGGGAACTCTTAAGGCATCAGCATACCAAGACAATCTGGACAATTCATGCTCTCAACTTTGTGGGAACAGTTTGGGGATGGCTCCTTCCTGTTCCAACATGACTGCACACCAGTGCACAAAGCAAGGTCCATGAAGATATGGATGAGCAAGTTGAGTTAACATGTTAACCCTTTCCTGCCCAGTGCCATTAGTACAGTGTCAGTGCTTTTTATTAGCACTGATTACTGTATTGGTGTCACTGGAGATGTTAGTGACACCAAGTTAGTTCCCCCCAGTGTCAGAATGTCCGCCGCAGTCCCGCTATTAGTCGTTGATCGCCGTCATTACTAGTACAAAAAAAAAATTCCAGTATATATACCGCCATTTGTAAATGCTATAACTTTCACGTAAACCAATTAATTTACATGTATTGAGATTTTTTTAGCGAAGAAATGCAGCAGATATATTTTGGCCTAAATTTATGATGAAATTAGATTTTTAAAAAATTTTTTTACCAGACATGTTTAATAGCAATAAGTCAAAAATATTGTTTTTTTTCTCTCAAAATTGTCAGTCTTTTTTTGTTTATAGCACAAAAAATAAAAAGATGCAAAGGCGATCAAAAGCCACCAAAAGAAAGCTCTATGTGTGGGAAAAAAAGAGCATAAATTTCATTTGGGTGCAGCATTACATGACCGTGTAATTGTCAGTTAAAATAACGCAGCGCCGTATCGCAAAAAATGACCTGGTCAGGAAGGGCGGTAAATAGGAGGGTAAGTGGTTAAAGTTCATGTGCATGCAAAGGCAGGCATCCCCATACTTTTGGCAATATAGTGTAGATGAGTTTCTTTTTTGGGTTTCCATGGCTGAGCAGCTGCATCCAAGCCTTACATCACCAAGTGCAATGCAAAGTGTTGGATGCAGTGGTGTAAAGCACACCGCGACTGGACTCTAGAGCAGTGGAGGCGTATTCTCATTTAATTTCAAATGATTTTAATTAACCCTGTCTAGCAGGGGAGAGTATATGCTCTTTCTCTAATGCAGTTTCATTTTCTTCTCCAACCTGTGACTGGACAGTGAAAGGAGAAGCAGCAAACAAATGATGTCATCTCTCCTTCACTGTTGTACAATAGACTGCACAAGGCTGATATCAAGTCAAATTAAGGTACTTGCATTGCTTGTATTTACAAAAATACATTTGATGATGTATTACTGATTATGGAGCAGCATTAACGTCTGCCCTTTATATCTGCATGGATTTCATCTTTATTCATACTGTTGCTGTGCATGTGGGAATATATTCTTGCAGCCTTGTAAGCTTCCAGATAGGTTAACTTTAAATCTATTCACTGGGCAGTCACCCCTACACACACAAATGTCTCTTATTTTGAAAGATTTACACCCCAAATTTCTCAAAGTCTGGCAACAGTGGATTTCCTATTCATTTCCCATGCTCCACCTTGTTTGCCCTGGCTGTCTGTAACCACTTCCACAAATCTGAGTCCAAGAAAGTCCTGTTTCCCTATCCCTTCTCCTTGCCTTCCTTCTCTCCCTTCCCCATTTTCCTTTCTTTTCTTCCAGCTTCTTCTCCCAGGGGATTCTACTCTCGTAGTGCACCCATTTCAGCCCTAGAGATTCCTCTACATTGACCTTAGGTTTCGGCAGCCCTGCGGCTCCGTTCTTGTTTTGGAATATTTCTGTTGTTTAGATGGCTTATGCTAGTCGTTTTTGTATATGCTTGAACACCTGAGCCCCTATGCAGGTGGACTATGAGCCTCTTTATTTTTCTTGCTGGAAAACAAAAAAAGTATAGAAACAGAAAAAGAACATACCTAAATACTCATTTTACTTTCCTAAATCAGTGGTCCCAAAATGTCTCAATCCTGCATCTTCTGTGCACAGGAGGAAGGTCTCTCTACGGATGTTCACATCACTGTATTGCCCATATAATACTGCCTATGTCAGCCTTTCTCAACAAGGGTGCCCAGGAACCCTGGGGTGCCTTGAGGATTCTTCAGGGGTGCCTTGGCAAAATTTCCAAAAATTGCCCAAAACTTGTATACAAGCCAGCAGGTGGAAGAAGCCTGCCCAGGGGCGGACTGACCATTTGGAAAGTCAGGCACTGCCCGAGGGCCCGGGGTCAGTAGGGGGCCCCATGAAATGCCCCTGGTACCTTTTTCATAGGCTTTTTTGAGTTTGGGCAAGGACACAGGGGCCCCATGATCCCCTATTGCCCGGGGGCCCCATGAGTTTTCAGTTCGCCCCTGAGCCTGCCTTTTAGTTACGCAAAGCCACAGTTTTTCATTGTGCACCATTACGACCTTCTAGTCACCGGCGTTCTTTCTGACAACCAATTACATCATCAGTTGATAGGGAGGATGTCAGCTGCCTGCTCAGCATCCTAGTTTGACCCTCCCCTGCCCCTTGTCATCAGTGCTGGGCTCACATTAGCTCAGTGATGGAGAAAAACTGAGGGAGAAGAGAAACACTGGAATAGTAGTCAGTACCAGTGTGCAAAAGTGTATTTGCTTTGGAAGAATAAATCACCTGTAATGTTGGGTGTCCTATGTGTGGATGTTGCTGCGTTATATGAAACTATTAGAATCCTTTTTCACATTTTAGAAGGGGGTGCCCTTTTAAAATTTTGGACAGTCTTGAGGCACCCCATTTTAGAATGGGGTGCCTCAGGAATGTCCATAATTTTAAAGGGTGCCTCGGCACTGTCCATAATTTTAAAGGGTGCCTCGGGACTGTCCATAATTTTAAAGGGTGCCTTGACTGAAAAAAGTTTGAGAAACATTGACCTATGCAACCAAAAGCCTAATTATTTGATTGTGTGATATCTGTTATAGCAGACCATCAGGGTTCTGATTGCCATATCCTCCGCTTCAGCAGAGATGGTTAGGCTTTTAGTCCTGTAAGCAACACTGGAGGGAGCCAAGAGCAATGTTTTCTTCAGTAAGATATTTCAGTGCTTCTATTACTCCAGTTATTAAGATTTATTATAGCTTTACATTAACAACTGAGTGTAGATCCTCCTGGTGTTTTAAGGCATCATTTGAAGACATGACATGAAATATCTTAAACGCAATTTATAACTGTTGAGAAAGGTAAAAGGACATGACCACACAGAATACGAAGTATCCAATAAACCTCAGTGTTCTGGAGGTAATACATTTCAAAACAGTTCCTTATTATGTATACTGTATGGAAAGCCCTAACCTTTAGTTTCTTGCACAGCTTGATGTGAGCATCCTGTTCTCAAGGGGAATTATTTTTAGATAAACCTTGAGCCACAAAGTTGGTCTAGCTCACATATATTAAAATACATTTAGCACGTCTGCATATATTTTAATATATTTACGGTGCCCGCAATGCCCTTTGCATCTAAAACAGGCTGGAAGTCTGCCTTCATATTGTGCAAATGTCCCAAAACAGAAAATATTCTATAGAAATGATGTCCAGTGGAATAGGTTTAATATGATAGATAAGACATTAGATGGGCAAAAGCTGGATAAAACATGAACAAGTGCTTAGGAATAAAGTAGCTTCTAAGTGAAATTTAATACATGCAATGCTTGTTGCTGTGTACTTATACCTAACCAGACCCCTACATATTTTACAATAGGGACAGATACAATTGTACCTTCCAGGACATTTTGTCAAAATTAGCCTCTACTGTAATTTGTCAAAGCAGAACTGCTAGTCAAAATTAGTTAAAATAAAAAAGGTCCCATTGGGGGCAACATATAAGGTCCTAAGAAAAAGTTGTCCAGTTCCCATGAGAGTAGCACATTTCAATCCCTGTAGTGATCAGAACCTGGTCCAAAGTGTTTCCTCATCTATCTGCACTACCTTGAACCTTCATCAGGCAAAATCCTTGGCTAGCTTTATTACATACTAAATGTGGTATCCTCCAGTTGAAGCTAGCAAACGTTATCTTTTTTTGGAAATTAAACAAACTATTGGGGCTGTAAAAGAGCACACAGGAGAGTGCACACACCTAGTGCAAAAGGTTTATTTTATAAAACAAAACATACAGTTGAATGGATACTCACAAAAATGAATGTTTACAGGTGTTGTATGACACTAAATTTCAATCCAGTGTGGGAATAGCATGGCCAAACACAATGTGACGCTATGCTGGCAAGCTGGCCATGCTATTCCTGCACTGGCTTAAAATCTAGTGACATACAATGCCTGTATACATTCATTTTAAGAGAATCCAGTTGGTTGTATGCTTTGTTTTACACAATAAACCTTTGGTAATGCACTAGGTGTGTGTGCCCTCCCAGATTCCCCGATCTGAAGAGGGCTGCATCGACAAAGCATACCAGAAGGATGCCATTCCATTGCTTTAGATGATCCACTTCAAAAGTAGACTTTAAGGCAGAACTCACTGGAATTTTTGATGTGTTTTAAACTATAGGGACTGGCTGGAAAAAAAAACCCAAAATAGGAGTAATGTTGCTTGCAGAGTGCCAATGTATGGACTCCTTGGCTAAAGCAAGAACCGCCTTCATTCCATTCATCTTCCATCTCCTATCTCTAAAATGTTGTTGGCTGTAAAAGAAGACCAGTGATTGGCCTTCAGGACCACCATTCAATGAATTTTACCCTGTCCCCACCTTTCCTTCAAACCCCTCCACTTCGTCCATCTTTCCTCCTATTATTACATCTTATCTCCTATTATTACATCTTATTACCTTTGCACCGCTTTTTCCACAATCTAGAAGGCAGGTAAAAAAATACAGATAGTATCGAGCGCTCATATAAGTAGCGGCTGGAACACTGAAGGAATCACACAATCCTTATATCAAAGTACTAAATAAATAATAGTACAGCGCTGCCAATCATAAAAGTTCAATAATAAGAGATGCAAATAATATATATCCAAAAACGGCATCAAAGATAAATTAAAAAGGATGTAAAAGTTCAAATAAATCGTCAAGTATGCAGCACCCCGAAAGACACTTCCTCTGCTGTAATACGTATCACTGGTGAAGAAATAACAGAAATGCGCACTCACCGACCGCGCATAAAGGAAGCGCATGTGTATAATATATCCGTGGTATTAGATGGCACCGGATGGACAGCAGGACCCTCTC